TATAGTCAGGAATTAGTCTCCAACTGTTATCCTGATGTATAGGAGTAGTTAGAGTTCTTATCTCCATTGTACCTCTGTTACGCTCAATTGATTCAAACACAATAATCTCATCCTACTAAGCATACACGTGACACAAATAACATATATAAGAACTAAATTAACATTATAATTACAATTGAAAACTAAAAATATCATTCTTTTTATTAAATTAAAATTTAATAATTTAATAATTAAGTAATTTTAACATGTATGTGAAATGAATTTTCCACTGTAATACAAAGTAAGATGAGATTCAAGGTTCACATGTTTATAGAGAATAAAATAGGGAAATTGATCATATAGTATGTCACTTAGAACAATATATAACTACAATAGATTTTTACCTAAGATTTTCTTAGTGCTCGTTGTCCAAGGACGATAGTTGCTAACAATTATTTTTGCCTCTCGGGTATCTCGAAAAAGAAAAAATATCAAATATGTCACTAAATTTATCATTTTTGTGCAACTAGGTCACTGAATTTTAAAAAGCGTGTAATTGAACTATCAAACAAGTTGTGGAGAAAGATTGAAATGCTTTCGCCCAACTCAAATTGAATTAAAAGAAATAAAAAAATGTTCAAATTGTACATATTTTGCTTGTTTAATTATTCAATTATATACTTTTTTGGTTTAGTGACTCAATTACACGAAAACAATAACTTCAGTAATCTATTTGACACTTTTTCCTCCAGAAAAAAAAAATAAAAATTAAAGTAAGATGAGAAGCCTAAAGTCATTCTCCCAGAAGGTTGAATCTCCAACTCTAAGGGCTCCCCATACTCCGCCCAACAGAGTATGTGGGAGGAGGTAAATCATGGTGATCTAACTCAGTGGCTCAGTAATTTCTATACTGACATTGCCAAGTTTTGAATCTTGATTTCTTCTATCAAATAATACATATTGAACTAACAGGTTAAGCCCGTGTGGACAACAAACCTAAAGTCCTAAACACATGGGTGGATGTTTCAATTGACAATTTATATCCTGCACCACGGCGCGCGTTGTATTGTGCGTCCAGATGCAAAACGACGTCGTTTCAGAATTATTTTTTTTTTTGAAATTTCGCTACTCAGTGTTTGGCGGTTAATTTTCCTTTAAAAAAATCTCATGTTCAAAAATGTACATAATGTTATACATGAATGTACATAATTGTATAACAAAATATACATACTGTTTTTTAAAAGATAATACACATAATCTAACATAATACATAATAAACATAAATTTTTAACATAATACACATCAACTCTTAACACAATACACAAAAATTTCCTGATTCGGATGTACATAATTGTATAAAAAAAAATGTACATAATTGTATAAAAAATGTACATAATAAAAAATATACATAATTGTATGAACAAATATACATAATCACAACAACTTCCTACCGTGTCTTTCAAAATGACGTCGTTTTGGGAAACGCAGCGCATATGCGCGCCGTGATGTAGAGTATAACGATTGGTTTCAATTCCCTGGGAAGTCCAGTCAAAGTCCAAGTGTGCACATAATGCAGTGCATGAGTGACGGAGCATCCGCAATTTATGCGAAAGCGGACGATCAAATAGAATTCATTTTCCAGTCAAAACCAACGTGCTTGCCTTCCTTTTCTCTATAAATGCAACTAAGGGTGTGCGCATATGGGAATTGGAATCAGAGTATGAATCAAATACTTGGTAATTATAATGTGTTTTGATAAAAGTAGTATATATGTTTGGTGGTAGGGTGGAATTAGAATGATCACCAATATTAATGTTTGGTTGTGTATGACCTTATAATAATAATACATGTTCTAAAACAAATAAAAAATCAAGGCAATTGATCCTAATATAATAACATCCAAAACATCAATATGAACAAAAAAAAATTAAAACAAAAATCTAAAATATTAATTCAAACTTAAAAATTAAATTACCAATAAGATGGAATGATACGTTTTTAATTAGGGAATGAAATTTTTAATCGAAGGGTAATCAAAACTCATAATTGTGTTTTAAAAAGTTTTCAACGAAACACTAAGTATGATTTTAATTCTCATTCTTAATGTGTAAACCCATGAACCAAACATACACCCACTGGAATGCACAAAAATGTGAAGCAATTATTGAAAATGCTAAATTCAATATAGGATCTTCAACACAAATCATAAACGACCATAACTAATAAACGAGCAAACAAGATTCAACTCAAATTAGTAATTAGTGATCAAGATTAACTTATCTTTTCTTTAAATAAAAAAATTCTCCACCTCTTGAAGGCTCAACAATGTTATGTCCAAAAAAAAAAAAAAAAAAAAAAAAAGCACTTCGATGGCACAAGGTCGGAACAAAATATAATGTTTTAATTATTTAAGTTTCAAAGTATCACTTAAGTATTGTACATAATGTTGAGCAAAAGGTCGGAACAACAAAATAATAATCCTACGAAAATATATTATTATTATTATTTTCTGGAAAATTGGAAATTTATGGGGAAAACAATCAAAGGACGAAAAGGGAATTCATGTAGGTTTTTAGTACAAGTCGAGTTGCACTCTCTCCTTTAAATTTTATTTGTTGCCTCAGCTTAGGTTTTTCTGTTTCGTGAGCTCTCCTTTAAATTTTATTTGTTGCCTCAGCTTAGGTTTTTCTGTTTCGTGAGCTCTCCTTAAATCTTATGTGTTGCCTCAACTTAGGTTTTTCTGTTTCGTGAGCTTATTTGCTGGCTTAGCAACTGATGATAATAAATCAGACGACATTCGTGCCAGCAAGTGCCGACGTACACAAGTCAAGCCTTTTCACCCCCTCCCTGTGCGTGGGAGAGAACCTCTATGCTATACAATTCAATAAGCCTTAGAAAGACTCTTATATAAGTAGTGGTGCAAACCCACTTCGCAAACCAATGTTGGACAAATGCTACTTTAAAGTCTTTCCTCTTTATTTTTCCAACTCAAATGAGTCTACTTTAATAATCAATTTATCATTCACTCATTATCCGTTTTGAGCGTACAATATATCAATCTCTTCACCTCACAACGAAGAACCGAATCCACCTTGACCCGACCCAAATCGAAAGTGGACCCCACTAATATTTGTACCACAAAATAGCAACTTAAAATGTCATTTTATGCTATTTTTTTCCAACACATAAGAATAAGTCTTGCTTTGGGTTGTCTCACCGTAAAAAGTGTAATACTTTTTTATAAGTGTATAGAAAAGTATTACTGTCTCTGTCACATTTTACTTGTCATGTTTATTAGGTCAAACTAATTGTTTCTTTTATGCTTATTTTCTTTCATATTTTAAAATTTGATTTTTTTTTGTGTTTAATAATACTTTTAATGTAATTTTTAAATATTTAAATTTTATATACTAATACTAAAATTACTATTTTAAAAATTTGAATTAAAAATAACATTAGTCAAGCCTTATTAACCGAACAAAACAATATAAAATGGGATGAAGGGAATATATTTTAACTAAAACGTATTTCATATTTCACATAAGATGGCCTCACCCAAAACTTATTATGTATATAATACTTCTTTATCATATTATCTTTCTTATAAGAGTTAAATATTAAAATTTTATGTTTGAACAACTACTACAATGTAATAGAGTCAGTAGCATGTAGTGACATCTCTAATGTGGGAGGTCATGAGATCGATCTCAGTGGAGGCGTTGTTAACTATTTGTGCTTCATTAGGTTGAGAAAGTATGTTTGAACATATACTACAATGTAATAGAGTCAGTAGCATTAAAAAAAACTTATTAAATTTCCATAAACAGAAAAGTTAAAATACATATTTTAAATTAATTTTAAAATTATACGATTATAAAAAGTAAGATACGAAGTATATTTTAGCAATATTGAATAGTAAAATTTTGATTACTATAAATAAAAACAATTATTATCATCTTTTCTATTCATAATAACAAATTTATTATTAATTTAACTAATTTAACAAACTATTATTAATTTAACAAATTTATCAATTAAATTTTTGACATCCTCGGAATTTAATATTTTTAAAATTTTAATTATGCTATTATTATGTTGATTTTAAAGTTTATTATTAATTGTATTATTATTTGAATTTGATTTTTTTTAAAGGAATTTGAATTTAAAATATCTACTTTAATTATATAACTAACGTATTTAAATAAAACTTGTAAATAAAATAGCAGGTGATATTTGTCAAAAATCTCCATAAAAAATTTATTCATTTGAAAAAAATTATTTATGTAAGAACTATAATTTATTTTATATCTAATTTCTCCACTTTATATATGTGGAGTCAAATTAATTATAATTGAGGTTTAAATGAATATATACACAAATTATATTAAATATAAAACTTTACCAATAAATTTGAACACAATAAACTTTTTTCCATACTTCATTATGCTTTAATATATATAGAGATAGAGATAGAGCTATAATAATAAAATATAATTTATAAAATATAAATACACATAATAACTTCAAAAAAATATGTATTTTACATCATTACATTAAGTTATTTCCGGGTTTCAAAAGTCCATTCTATTAACCCCAAGTCCCACCAGGACTATGTGGTCTAATGGTATCCGAGTTGGACTTCCATTTGGAAGATTATGAGTTCAAGCCTCGGTGGAGGCGTTATTGGTTCTTTGTGTTTCAGTAGGTTGTAATGTAATAGAGCCAGTAACTTTTAAAAAAAAACCCCAAGTCCCCCAACCATTAGTGTCATAATTTTTTAAATCCTCTAATATAAAAAAGCCATAAGAAGCAGTTAATGCATTTTTGGCAAAAATTCCCGCCTTTTTGGCAAAAATTCCCGCCGTTCCATAGATGGCCGAAAATTTATTAGGCTTTGTGTTAAAAAATGTGTTACCTTATCAGTTCCCTAGATTTTAGCCAATATTTTTTATTTCTAAGCCAATGATATTAAAGCATTCTATTAAATCTATTATACTCTTCAATTTCCCATACGAAATTTATTTACATAATTAAACCCATTAGCCGGATTCTTTTTTCCAAGATAATTAATTGCAACTAATCGTTTGAAACCTTTTGTTAGTAAACGAAGTGCAGAAATCAGATCTAAAGTCCTATATATACATCACATTCTCTTCAATACAAACACTAACAAGTCTCAATATTCAATACAAACTCTGCCAAGATTAAAGCCCTGCGTATACTGAAGAACAATGCTCATTCTTGCCACTCGGATTTCTCCAATGAACACAAGCATACGACATACCTGACAGAAAAAGCTTCATCGCAAATCAAACAGAAAAAACTTCATTGCAAATCAAATCTAAATAGGTCGTTTCATGACCAAGAGGTGAGTTTTATGAATAAATACTATTCTACTATTTTGGTATTGAATCGTATACTATATCTCATATTCTAACATATACATGGCACCTTCTTGCACGCACACTGCCTATCACAATCACACCTAAACTGTAGTTGTAACACTACCTATCACCATCTATAATAATCACCAATGGTCTGTATTCTTATACCAACAAACTGTGACCTTTTGAAGCTGGGGAGATCAAGATTTGTAGTTCCTATGATGCCCCACAACTTCTTTCCAACCACAAAAATCCGGAATTCTTTGAATTCAGAGAAAGGTATATTTTAAATCATCTATTTGTTAACTAAATTATTTGTAAGTTTTCTAAATTACTCCCTAATCTGTGTTTTTATTCTTTGTCTCACAGTCTATGTCATGAGCACACTCCAAGAGGAGTATTATCTCACAATCAAGCTTTAGGGAGTGTATTTCTTATTCGGTTTCACTATCTGGGGAAATGGAACTTCATGCTGTTTCTGAAGTCTATCAATTGAAGGGGGTAATCTTTCAACTCATTTACAATAAAAATGAAGAAGCAGATCCACAACAATAAAGGTTCCAGCAATCGTTTTCTATTATTAATCTTTTTGAATCTTTAAATCTGTAAGGGATGAAGCCTTGATGTCTACCTATTGTTCAAACCTTAATGATAACCAAGACAAGGATCTTATATCCAGAATGATTGAAGAAGATTATGAAGGAACTGAAGATTCTGTAGGGGTATTAAGGCTTCATCCCTACAGAATGAAGAAGCAGATCCACAGCAATAAAGGTTCCAGCAATGGTTTTCTATTATTAATCTTTTTGAATCTTTAAATCTGTAAGGGATGAAGCCTTGATGTCTACCTATTGTTCAAACCTTAATGATAACCAAGACAAGGATCTTTCTTCATGGCTCATATTGTGAATCAATGCACAGAGCATGATTCAACCTATTAGGGAGTGACAGATATGAGCCATGAAGAAAGAAAAATAGTGTAGATTTTTCTGTTACGTTTCCAATTAAGAGGTATATCCAGTTAGAAAATATAACAGATTTACAGTAACAGGTATATCCTGTAGGTCATGTAATAACACACATGAATCTGTATGGAAATTATGTATACAGATCTTAGTTTTTAAACATATTGAGAACATATTAAGCAGAGAAATGTATATCAACATCACATCTAGGTGTAAATTAATTAACACTACCAATAAACCTTTTAGCTTCTCAACAGTATCATGCATGCTTAGGAATCAGTTTAAATACGAAAATAATCTACTAAATTGATACCAATCTGTATAAAAAAGTAAAAATGAAGTAGATTGAAAACTTAGCTCAAAACTGAGGGTTTACTGAAACGATTTGAACTCAAGTCACCGATTGCCACTTCTACCATGGTTAGCGTCAGGGTTAGCATATATCTCTTTCCAGAATCGCAAATCGGACAAAGGATTCGCTAAAACCCTAGACTCCGATTCATTTTCCCCAAATTTTTTGGGGAAAAAACACTATCGCAAATATAGACCACATAAAAATCAGATAGAGAACTGTTACACAGCTCAATCGGGAATCGGTAAGCATTTAAAGTAGTCGTGAAAGCTCTGCACTGAAATTGCGACATTACCTGTTTGCATGTCGCAATCCGGTGTTCAAGACTTAGTCATCTTCATAGTGAAGGTGTTTTTAGCCAATCCTTGTCCGATTGAAAGCAAGAACCTAAACATGGCTTTCTCAGAAATGAAAGAACAACAAAAAATAGGATAAAATTACTAGAAATTGCACTCAGATTCCCATATTAACAACAGGATCTGTAACCTCTCTATAGAAAGATAGGGTTTCTTCACCGTGCCATAGTTTAGAGAGGGAGTACAGAACCATTCATGAGAAGAGAGAGAGTAGCTCACGGAGAAGATAAGCTGAGGAGCAGAGAGCAAGATAGCGATTAGATTAGGCAACCAAAGTCGCAGAAAAGGCGCACTGAACTGGAGTATCACAGTCAACCAAAACACTAAACCAGATTAGGCAACCAAATTAGGAAATGATATAGCAAATAACTCACATATTTGTCTACTTAATAATGTTTGTACAATAATATTTATAATTTACTAGGATTCTTTGCTCAAACTAATCATAAAATAATTATTAGCCCTCCATAAAATGTAGACATTTATATAACAAGTAGTACCTTACATGAATATAACAAGTAGTACTGATTTTTGTACACGGTCAATTGTACGTAGCTGCATCTCGGGTTAACAATCCAGATGGTCTCAAAATATTGATAGTAAAAGACTCAAGTTCAACTACTACATCAACCGTTAATGTTGTATATCATGAAGTTTTCAATAATTTGTAATTTTGTAAACTTTTCTTTTTTTTAGTACCATATCATTAATTGCAACTATTTGTAATATACCATTTACATATTGTTTTTGTTGAATTTCCAAACATATTTCATTTATGTGTTATAAATTATAACTGCATTAGTTCATACAATGTATAACATAACATCCACACAATTAATACTTTTTAATTTACATACTGTGCATCGCACGGGACAAATACTAGTGTTAATTAAAACAAAAAAGAAGAAAGAAAGAAGAGAGCATATATAATAATTGGGATTCAATAGGGGCAAAGTTGGACACTCATTCGGGTAGTTTTGACTTACATTCATCCTCTCGAATGAATAGATCAACTAGTTTAATCTTCTTGACTTTTATATATACTAAAGTCTTTAATGTCGTATGACTAATTCATATTCACGTCATTAAGTTATTTTTGAGTCTGAAAGGTTGATGATATTAACCCCAATCATTAGTGCAATAATTAAAAAAAAAAAAAAAAGGATACTCCATAATTGAAAACAAAAAGAAGACGAAATAAGAGAGCATAATAATTGGGATTTGATAGGGGCAAAGAGAATAATTAGAGTAAAATGTGAAAAAGCATATAGGCAAGAGGCAGCTGGAGGCACCAAAAGTCAAAATCAAAGTCATGCTAGTCACCTACCGCTGTCATCTCTCTGACTGGACACAAGAAATAATAGCCACGCCTTTGCTTGCTTGCTAGCTAGGAAAATACTACGTGTACTCTTAATTTATAGTTTCACAGACAAAACTTTAATGTATACTCTTGTATTATGATCCACGTGAAAAAAAAATCTAATTAGAATCCGCCACATCAGAAAATAAAATTTAGGGAGTACATGTAGTAGAACTTAACTAGCTGTTACTGATTCCCCGCAGGCCGCAGCCATCTTCTCAATTTTTCTAGAAGGAGTACACGGAGTAATATATTAGAGCATCCATAGTGATTTTTATTGAATTTTTTGCAGAGAAAAAACTAATTTGGTGTGGAAAAAAAAAAAAACAGATGGGTCAGCTGGTTTTTGGAGAAATTTTTCTCGTACAAATACATGAAAATTGCAAGAGAAAAAAAAAAGGAGCATATTTCATGTGTTTGGAGCGTACATCGCGCCCCAGCGGGCGCGTCAGATTGGCCGCCTGTTCCGCCAACCGGCGGGCACTTTGACTGAAACATTAACTTTTCTGCTTTTTTTTTTAAAAAAAAAAAATTACCAGAAGTTTTTTTTTTCTGTTCTTTTCTTTGTCTCTCCCACTGTTGTCTCTCTCGTGCATGGCTTCTTTAAAAATTGTGCAAAAATCTAAAAGATGTGGTTGCTCTAATACATGGAGCAAATGCCAATTTTGGTCTCACGAGTATTAACAAACTGACAATTTTGGTCCACATATTTAATTCTTACAAATTTTCATTCACGACTATTGTTTTAGTACCAATTTTCATCCACAATTATTATTTTAGTGCCAAAATTCATCATGACGGTCACCCCTTCATTTAAACCATGTCGAAATCTAAAATTTTTAAGGGTATTTTCATACTTTTCAACTTAAGATCCCAATTTGAGCATGAATAAAGGGATTTAAGTCCTAAGGTCGATCTCAATTTGCAATTCTCATCCTTATCCTACCAAAGCCAATTTAAGTCTGGAAGGCAACTCTTCTAGGTGCACTGAGTAACGGCACACCTAACAACTTTGAAGAATGGTTTGCATGGAACATAATGAAGAAAGATCACGATAACAATTGTAGCTGGGGAGAGAGATTTGCAACGATCCTTTAATTTGGTGGTTGTGGAAGTGGAGAAATGATAGTATCTTTTCCCAAAAAGAAGTCCCCATAAAAATTGGTTGTGGATTGTGGATTGTGGGATTTGAAAGGAAGCTGGGAATACGCAATGCATTTGAAGCAGAGGCCTGGGGGTTTCTAACTGGCTTAAAATTGGCAACAGAGATTAGCGTGAATAAGATTATGGTTGAAACTTGTGCAAATGAGGTCTTTCAATGCCTAAAAGGGGAGAAAATTTTGGTTGGAAATAGGTGCAATTTAATTGAAGAATGCAACAGATATCTCAAGGCTAGAAATGTTGGGTTGAATGAAGAATATCAACCTGGGAAACAACAATGTCGTGTGTATGTATGACACGTTTGATGTGGTTGGTTTCGAAAGGATACACTGAGCGAAAGGAGGATTCTGTGTCGTGTTAGGAACACTACCTTAAAAGCATTTACGACCAGGGTTATCGCTTGCTCTCAACGGGCAGCACATAATTACAGGACTGAACCTGTATACCTCAGGCGATAGAAATTTGCAATGTGTAGCGTATGCTCTCTGTGTGTCAAAGACGAAGGGGGGAGGCGGTATATATATTTGTAAATATAACCGCCCGCCCCCCCCCCCCCCCACCCCCCAACAGCCATGCGGAGTGGCACACGCACAAGGCTATTATGCGGACAAGGTGCTGAGTTGGTTGACCCCATCCCACCGCGCGTCGTGACGAGCCAGGCCAAACGGGCGAGCGGCGACGAGGCGCATGTGGTTTTCCCTTGTTCCCTCTTCATAATAGTTCAAGCCTTCTCTAAAGGCTTGGGGTTTATATGGGGGAAAACAAAGGGTTGTAGAACCAATGTGGGACAACTTAGAAAAACAACTCACTAGGTGTTTTTCCTTTAAATGCTCCCAATAATCCCCCACACATTTAAGGGACAAAGCTGGAGCCTGAGCAAACTCAAGAGCTAATTTTCATGCCAGTGTATAATACTTGAACGGTCATATAGTGATCTGAGTAATTTGCTACCCGAGAGTGAATTAAATCTTGAACTCATCGGTTAGTTAAATTTTGAACTCAAAATGCACTAATTAGCTCTCGCGGTCACAGATTCTGTGTAGTCACTCTCTTGACCTCGAAAGAATCCCTGTTTAGTCTACCTTAGTGTAGACCATTAACTCTGTCAAATCTACCTCATTGTAGATCACCCAATTCAGGCTACAGAGTAACATTGTTGTACAGTGTTTTTGTAAGTCTTTCTGTGACCTCGTTTGACCACTGACGTGGTCTTCATCACGAATTACTTCCCTCATTGGGTGTTAACCCCATTTCCCTTGACGAGTCAAGGATGGCCTTTCTGTTCAGGGCCTTTGTGAAAGGATCTGGAATATTCCTTTCAGATCTCACAAACTCCATTGTGATCACTCCATTCAATATCAACTGCCTTACAGACTCATGTCTGACTCTTATGTGTCTTCATTTTCCATTGTAGAAACTGTTTTATGCCACACAGATGGTAGTTTGTGAATCACAATGTATGGGAACAGCAGGCGCTGGGCACCCCCACAATGGCACGTCTGCCAGTAGATTTCTTAGCCATTCGGCCTCTTGACTTGCTAGATCTAGGGCTATGAATTCTGATTCCATAGTCGATCTGGCAATGCAAGATTGTTTGGTTGACTTCCATGATATAGCTGCTCCACACATAGTGAATACTACATATCCACTAGTTGAGCTTACATCATCACTGTCATTTACCCAGTTTGCCTCACAGAACCCTTTGAGCATAGCTGGGTTTCCTTTATAGTTAAGACCCCAGTCTATTGTGCCTCTTAGGTATTGAAGTACCCTTCTCAATGCATCCCAGTGCGAGGTACTAGGGTTGTGTGCATAGCGACTAAGTTTGTTCACGGAAAATGCAAGATATGCTCTAGTATAGTTCATTAAGAACATTAGACTCCCAATTATCTTTGCATATTCTTCTTGAGACACACATGCCTCTAGGTTCTTTCTTAATTTTACACTAGGATCATAAGAGGTTTTGGCCGGAGTTACATCATAACTCTCGAACCTCTTTAAAAGTTTCTCCGTGTAATGACTTTGAGATAAAAGATAACCATTCTCGGTTTTTGTAACTTTTATTCCAAATATTACATCAGCTTCCCCAAGATCCTTCATATCAAACTTGCTACATAGAGTCCTCTTTGTCTCATTTATGGCTCTAAGGTTTGAGCTAAATATTAACATCATCTACATAGAGACAAATAATTACAATGCTAGACTCTATCTCTTTAATGTATAAGTAGGCATCTGAGCGGTTTGTAGAATAACCTAACTCTAATAATGTTTTATGAAATTTTTCATACTACTTCTTAGGGACCTGTTTTAAGCCATATAGAGACCTTTTAAGTCTGCACACCTTTCCTTATTGACCCGGATCAACACATCCAGGGGGTTGTTCCATGTAGATTTCCTCTTCTAGTTCACCATAGAGGAAAGCTGTTTTCACATCCATCTGGTGTACTATCAACCTGTGTAAGGATGCCAGAGCAAATAGAACACGAATAGTGGCAATTTTTGTTACTGGTGAGTAGGTATAGAAATAATCCCCACCGAATTTCTGTTGTTACCAGTCTGGCTTTGAATCTTTCAATTGAGCCGTCTGGTCTCAACTTCCTTTTGAAGATCCATTTACAACCTATGGGTTTAAAACCCTAGGGTAGGTTCACTAGCTCCCATGTATGATTAGACTGTATAGAATCTAACCCACTTTTAACAGCTTCTCTCTATAAGGTGGAGTCTACTGAGCGCATAGCTTCTTCAAAGGTTTTTGGTTCTTCTTATAATACAAGTTGACAAAAAAATGGTCACAAAGCTCATTAAGATCTTTCAATTCCGTTACATACGTAATGAAGTCAGAACCAAAGTTTTTCACAATTCTAAGCCTTTTACTTCTTCTAGGCTCTTCTGAATTAGATGAGAAACTATGGAAAGGGTTATTTAGTTGAAGCCTATTAGCATCTAGATGATGAACACCCTTTAACGGAAATATGTGTTCAAAGAAAACAGCATCTCTATATTCACACATTGTACGATTTTCTAAACACATAAATCTATATGCAGCACTGTTCTTAGCGTACCCAACGAATATGGCGTCTAAGGTTTTAGGACCCAAATTGGGCCTTTTAAAGGACGGTAGTCCTACCTTTGCCAAACAGCCCCATACCTTAAAGTATTTAAGATTAGGAGCATGCCATTTCCACAGATCATAGGGGTTTTTTTTTTCAAACCCTTTGTGCAGGACTCTATTTAATATGTGGTTTGCTGTTAAAACAGCTTCCCCCCACAAAGAGTCAGAAGCACCTGAACTGATTAGCATAGCATTAATCATCTTTTTGAGAGTTCTGTTTTTTCTCTCTGTTATGCCATTTTGTTGGGCTGTGTAAGGTATGGTGCAGTTACTTCATATATAATGCCAGAGATTCACACAGGTTTTTCAAGAAGTTTGTTTCATATTCCCCTCCTTTATCGAATCGAAGCTTTTTGATCCTTTTTTTCTAACTGATTTTCTACTTCAGTTTTAAAAGCAACAAAATTTTGTTCGGCTTCACTTTTTGATCTTAACAAGTAGATTTTTGTATATCGGGAGAAATCATCAATAAACGGAATAGTAACGTTTGCCACCTCTACTTTCAGTTGTCTTAAAATATGCTAAATCAGTGTGAATTAATTCTAACAGAGTTGACAAGTAGAAAAATTTTGCTTCAGCGCACATTTCACATTGTTCACACGTATCATTGGACAAGTTTGGTAACATATTCATGCTTTTCAGTCTATTTAAACATTTAGTACCAACATGTCATAATCTACCATGCCAGATATTAACTGAAACAGTAATGTAAGCATAAGAAGCATTCTCATTATCATAATTGATTTCAGAAGGTCCAACTACATCAGAGTTATTTTTAACTATACTAACATCTAGCACAAAAAGGCCTCCACGCAGATATCCCTTCCTAAGGAATTTCCCGCAGCGCGTCATAACCAATCGGTCAGACTCAAAGACCATCTTAATTCCAGCCTTGTTAAGTAGGCCTCCAGAAATTAAGTTTCTACGAAGGGAAGGGACATATAACACATTGTGCAACAAAAGATGTTTTACAGAACAAAGCAGTAATTCTATTTTTCCTCTACCACTTACCTCAGCGACGCTGGAATTCCCCCATGAATACTTGTTCTCCGCCTGTGATAGATTCGAACGCTTTGAATAGATCCTTGTTGTAGTAGAAGTGTCGTGAGGCTCCCATGTCATATTGGCCTCGGTTATCATTGCTGCTACTACGTCAGAATTCTCCGTGTTTTCCAGAAGGTGGGCTTGGTGTTTAGGCCCTTCGTTGTTTGCTTTCTGGCCATTCTGACTAGTAGCCCCTTTGCGGTGGTAGCATTGGGCAGCACGATGGCCCTTCTTCCCACACACGTAGCAATCACCATTATTTTTCCCTTTTTTCTGAATTTGCCACTTTTGACAGGGTTGTTACCGTTGTTTTTATAATTTTTCTTTTGGTTTCTACTGTTGTCGCCAGACATTGGCTTGTCAAAACTAGTGTTAGTTTCAACCACATTGGCTTTAACATTATCAGAAAGAGTAACTGACTTGTGAACCATTCGATTCTCTTCTTCGATGTTCAAGCTACTTATTAGCTGTTGGAATGTGTAATCGCAGTGGTCGTGCTTCATTTTATTTTTGAAGTCCACCACGAGTTTGGCAATTTATCAATCAGCGAGTCACATAGGATAACGTAATTCACAACGCCACCTTCTGCCCTCATATCTTCGACTAGATTTTCAAAGTCGTGCACTTGTTCAATTATTGGTTTAGAATCTATCATTTTGAAATGTAACTAGCGACCGACAGCATATTTGCGCCTTCCTGCACCGTCAGCGCCATATAGGGGTGGGCACATTTCGGGTAAAACCCGAATTTTCGCGGGTTCGACCAGTATAAATACATCTCGGGTCGGATTCGACCCAGTTCGGGTCCAACCCGATAAAACATTTAATGATATATAGTTTAGCAGTTCGGATTTCGGTTTTTATAATTTGAGTTCGGATTCGACCCGAAACCCGAAAATATATGCGCATATATAAACATTAGTAAGGGACCTAGGGTTTCAGATTAGTGATTATTCCTCGCCTCCTCAGTCTATCTTCTTTCTCTCTGGAGACTTCTCATCTGCTCTCAGATCTGAGATGACATCTCATTATTTCCTCCCTCACTCTCTCCGTTTCTCACCCCTCCTCCGGTCTCCGTCGCTCAGAGCCAGGCTCCGCCTCTCATCTTTCACACCCTCTCTGCGTCTCCTTTAGACTACGACTCGTACTGGTCCAGATCTCTCGAGTCTGGCCTTTGGGGCTGAGCACAACGTAGATATTCGAAGATGGGCTTATACTCCTCCACTTCTCCGGTGACCGGCGGTCGGCTACTCTCCTTCGAGGCAAAGGCCAAAGCCGTTAACACTCCAGGTATTTTATTAGTTTTTTTTCCATTTTTTTCTAGAAATATATGTTTTAACCGCTCAATTGCTCCCGTTAAGTCCCCTCTGACCTCTCAGTATCTAGCTCTCTACAGATCCGGGAGATCTCCATTGAAGTTTCGAGTTTGTAGACTTCTCCAGTAACTGTCTTTGGCCATGAAATTATAATATGAGAAAAAGGTACTTCACATTTATTTTAGATTTTTTTTTTCATTTTTTACTCCGAAAATTAAACTTTTAATACTTTACAAAGTTTTTGAAATTTTTTCCTTTTGTATTAATTTAACTAAAATTTATTTTAAAATTTTGTAGTTGATCATATATTTTTTTCAACAAAAAATTGTATTATTCTGTTTTTAATGTTCTAAGGTTTTTATTTATAAATTTTATTAGTTGTATTTAATAAACTGTAATTGTTTTGGGGTTTAAAAAGATGAAATGTTTCTTGTTTTTAAAGTAGACTATATGGTTCAGTAAAAATGATGGTTTAACTACACTGCATTGGATGTTTTGTTGATGTGCAATTATGCCCATTTTTTGTATACACTGTGAGTCTCAAAATCAATGCTACAAAACTCAATTTTTGTGTAACACTAATTTTAACTCTTCACTTCCAGAGTTCCAATCAACAAGTTGTGACTCTTCAATTCTAGAGACTATTGTCCAGACTTGCATTATATGTGAATATAGTCAAAGAGCAACTGCAGCCCTATGGTTGTGGTTTTGGGATACTCGCTCTCGCTTCATGTCCGTGTATCCAATTCAATGTTCCGATGCAGAAAGAAAGGCAAGATTCATGGTAAAGTTCCAAAACACAAGCTATGATGATTATTACCGAGGAGTTACTCAAATTAATAAATATAGTGTTATTTGTTTAGAGTTCTAATTTGAAAATCATCTCTGGGTATAAAGCATTTGGGTGGCAGCTTATTTATTGATTTATGTTCTTAAATTTTGCAAAAAAAAAAAAAAAAAAAGTAAAGAAAGCAAACCCTAATTTTTTTTGAATTTATGAATAAACTGTTTGTTAAAGTATGCTTTCAGAGTTTCTATTATGTCTTTTTCAATAATAAATTTTTTTAATCAATTTTATGCATGTTAGGATACTTTTATTAGTTTCTCCTTTGAATTTTAGAATGCATATTTGAAATGGTAATTTTATATGATCAGACGTCTTTTTGATAGTCTTAATATTTTTGTTTACATTGGCTAACTGCTATATTAATAATGAAGTAACTTCCATACATTATATTTAAATTTTATCTTAGCTTTATTGTTGTTTGTTGTAAGGGGATAGTCTTAATGTTTTTGTTTATGCATTATATTTAAACTTTATCTTTATTGTTGTTTGTTGTAGGGGTTCTAATTAGCAGACAAATGAGAAGCAGTATACTAGCCAGATCTCTGGATCAATATTTGCTTAGAGGAGCTAACTAAATTCAACACAGAACACTAGCTTTTCCCTCAATCTTATTTCACTATGCTTTGTTTAGTTTGATTTTTTTTGTAATTGTAAATTTGTAATTAACTAGTAGGTATTTTGCCCTTTTGGGTTGTGTAAAATATTGTATTTATAGTTCTGCATATTTTATTTTTTAGATTGGTTTTAAAATTTTGTATTTATAGTTCTGCATATTGGTTTAGATTGGTTTTAAATTTTTGGGTTTGCTTCAAGAATTTCTTGCTTAAAATTTAAAAGGTTTTGGAACAATGTTACAAATTCGGGTTTATTGTACCCGACCCGGCCTAAACCCTACCCGAATTACCCGAACCCGAAAAATACCCGAAAATTTTCGGTTCGGTTTCGGGCTTTAAAACAGAAAACCCGAAATATTTCGGGTGACCATTATGGGCACGGGTCGAACCCGAACCCGACCCGTGCCCACCCCTAGCGCCATATTTTTCAATAAGAAAATCCCAAATTACCTTGGCTGACTTGTGAACCGAAAACATCTCAAATAATGGGTCTGAAACCAGTTGAAGGACGATCCCACGAGCAGTTTTATTGTCCTTTTCGTACTTAGTACGAATTGCCTCTGAAGTTGATGAAACCTGTGGTGATGAGGACTTTGGATCCTTCGAAGCTGCTGAAGACTTCGGGTCCGTAGAAGCATCCGAGGCAGTAGACTTCTCTTGCTGCACAGTCTGTGTTGGACTATGACCATCAGCAGCTACTGAGAATTTCGCAGGGTCTTCCAGAATGACATAATCCACATCCTTTGATTCCAGATGCATGACTATCTTGGTAGCCCATTTTCTATAGTTCAAGCCACCCGTTAGTGGTTGAATTGGTGTAAAATCAGAGGATGGATTGGATGGCTCAGACATTGTTGATAGGTAAATGCTTTTAATTGTTGGGTTGAATGCAGAATATCAACCTGGGAAACAACAATGTTGTGTGTATGTATGGCACGTTTGATGTGGCTGGTTTTGAAAGGACACACTAAGCGAAAGGAGTATTCTGTGTCGTATTAGGAACACTACCGTAAAAGTATTTACGACCAGGGTTTTCGCATGCTCTCGACAGGCTGCACAGAATTACAGGGTTGAGCCTGTACAGCTCAGGCGATAGAAATTTGCAGTGTGTAGCGTATGCTCTTTGTGTGTCAAAGACGAAGGAGGGAGGCGGTATATATACTGTAAATATAACCGCCCACCCCCCACCAGCCGTGTGAAAAGGAAAAAGGAGCGGAGGAGTGGACTGACTCTAAACACACACGCACAAGGCTATTATGCGGACAAGGTGCTGAGTTGATCCACAAAAATAGGGTAGAAAAAGTCTTGTCGGAAGTAAAACATTGACCCCACCGCGCGTCGTGACGGGCCAGACAAGCGGGCGGTGGCGCGCGCGTGGTTTTCCCTTGTTCCCTCTTCATAATAGTTCAAGCCTTCTCTAAAGGCTTGGGGTTTATAATGGGGAAAACAATGGTTGTAGAACCAATGTGGGACAACTTGGAAAAACAACTCACTAGGTGCTTTTCGTTTAAATGCTCCCAACAATGTGGTGTTAAAATATATCCTAATGTTAGACATTATATTATTGTTATTAGTTTTATAATGTATAGTTTATATTCCTGTTGCTTTAGTCTTAGTTTGTTATTTCTAGTCTAGAGTTTAGGAGACTTATGAGGATGCTTTCATATAGGTCTCTATCATGTAATTGATCGATTGAATTTGAAATTCTAAAACTCATCTGGTATCAGCTTAGCGTTAGGTATCGATCCCTCTTTTTTTTCCTAATCTCTCTCCACCACCCAACATGTCGACGAACTCGTCTGAGCGCACGGTGACCACCACCATCGCCGCTACTCACACCGCCACAAACCCCCTTAGCTCGGCTCATCACTTTGTGTCGATGAAGCTAACCAATCGCAATTTTTTATTCTAGCGTGCTCAACTCCTACCGTTTCTCCGAGGACAAGGCTTGCTCGGGTATATTGATGGCTCCATACCTTGTCCGCCGGCTACCATCACAGTGACGCAACAGACCGGTGAATCGGGCGCCACCACCTCCGGTCCGTCCGCTGTCCCTAACCCGGAGTACGAGCGATGGTTGCAACAGGATGCTTCCATCATTTCCGTCCTTATCTCGTCGCTGGCTGACGAGGTAATGCCTCACGCTCTCGGCCGGAATTTCGCCAGGGAGGTCTGGGAATCGCTCACCTCCGCGCTTGCGTCTTCTTCAAGAGCCCGGTGTTTGAATCTACTGGGTCAGATTCAAACACTCCGGCAAGGCAGCAGCACCCCTGCAGAATATCTGGGCAAGGCAAGGGTGATCGTGGAGGCCTTGTCGCTCGCCGGCCGCCCTCTCTCACTCGACGAACAAACACTGTACGTTCTACGTGGGCTTAGGCCGGAATTCCGAGCAATGGCGAGCGCCCTCATGGTTACAGGTACTCCCGTCACCCTTTCCCAATTATCTGATCTGCTATAGGCTCAAGATTTCATCCAGGCGGATGAGTACTCTGCTTCGGATCCTGCTGCTGCTGGAGGAACACCGGCTGCTTTCTATGCCGGGCGTGGCAGTGGTGGACGCTCAGGCTACGGAGGTCGGCAGTCCGGGAATAATGGTAATCAGAATCACCGAGGCAGAGGCCGTGGGCGAGGTGGGCGCGGTCGTGGCAATCCGCGCTGCCAGATATGCCGGAGTCACGGCCACACTGCTGTGACCTGCAACAAACGCTACGCCGACGCCCCAGGTCAGCATGCGCATGTGGCAGTCTCAGGTGATGTTCCGGTGGACTCTACGGTTGACGGCTGGTTCCCGAACACGGGTGCAACTACCCATGCCACGCCGGACGATCAAATGCTTGGTCGGTCGGAAAGCTACACCGGCGGAGACATGCTCACCGTTGGAAATGGTGCAGGTTTGAACGTTTCTCGTGTGGGCCATACGGTTATCCCTTCCACGTCTAAATCTTTACATTTGTCGAATATACTACATGTCCCTAAATTATCGTTACCACTTTTATCCGTATATAAATTCACAAATGATAATGATGTGTATTTTGAGTTTCACAAAAATTTATTTGTTGTGAAGGACTGCACCACCAAGGCGATTCTTCTTAAGGGATACACCACTGGCGGTCTGTACAAATTACTGGTTCCTCGTTCACATTTCGCGTATCTTACCGCCAGAGCGTCACTCACGGTGTGGCATCAACGCCTGGGTCATCCACATAATCAGGTCCTCCAACGTGTCCTACAACACTGCCCGATCACAAATAAAGCTAGTTCGTCAAAAATGTGCACGGCGTGTCAACTTGGCAAGTCGGCGCGGTTTCCTCTTGAACGTGTTCCTAGATCTAGTTTTGAAATTTTAGATTTGGTGTATACGAATATCTGGGGTCCGTCCCCTGTTATTTCTGATTCTGGATACCATTATTTTGTTTTATTTGTAGACGACCATTCGCGGTTTTCCTGGTTTTATCCGCTTCGGCTAAAGTCGGACATATATAAAATTTTCGATTTATTCCGGGCAATGGAAGAACGGCGATTTTCCCGTTCTATCAAAGCCATCCAGTCTGATTTAGGAGGCGAATATCGCCGTCTACATAATATTTTCGAATCTCTCGGTATAATACACAGACAATCCTGCGCTTACACTCACGAGCAAAACGGCCGAGTTGAGCGCCGGAATAGACATATTGTCGAAACCGGCCTGGCACTACTTGCTGAAAGCTCAGCTCCGCTTAAATACTGGGACTATGCCTTTGAAACAGCCACACAATTAATCAACTGTTTACCGTCCTCTGCAATACAGTTTCAAAGTCCACATTTTCGTCTACATAAAACTCTTCCAAACTATACTTTCTTTCGTGTCTTCGGGTGCAGATGTTTTCCCTATCTAAGGCCATACAATCGGCATAAGATAGAGTTCCGTTCTGCACCGTGTGTGTTCCTAGGTTACCCTATTTCGTTTAGGGGATATCGCTGTATGAACCTAACTACTGGAAAGGTTTTCATCTGCCGCCATGTTCGGTTTGATGAGACTGTCTTCCCTTTTGCTATGCAGGAGACTTTGCAGGTTGGTCCGAGTGTTGTTGATTCATCTACTCCGTGGGCTTCCGCCCCAGTTGCAGTACCCTCACATGGGGTACCGGTGTTGAATGAGCCCCCTATGGCTCAGGAACCTGCACCGCTAGCAATTGAAGCACCACCTGGCCGTGCTAAACCCCGTGCAAAGCCTCGTGCAAAGATTGTCCCCACTCCAGAAGTTGAGTACAGTATGCGTACTCGTCGTAAGACACGTGGCACTGGGGAAGAGTTCTTTGCGCTTAACACTACTGTAGACCCTACGTGCTATTCATAGGCAGTTGGCCATCCGCAATGGCGAGAGGCCATGGATGCAGAGTTCAACGCTCTTTTGCATAACAACACGTGGCAGCTAGTTCCCGCTACACCTCATATGAACATAATTGGGTGTAAGTGGGTTTTTCGCACCAAGCGTAAAGCAGATGGGACGGTTGAGCGGTATAAAGCTCGTTTAGTAGCGAAGGGGTTCAACCAAGTAGCAGGTGAAGATTTCTTTGACACATTTAGTCCTGTTGTGAAGCCCACTACCGTCCGTATCTTGTTTTCTCTAGCAGTGTCTCACAGGTGGACTCTACGTCAGTTGGACGTCCATAACGCTTTTCTTAATGGACACCTATCTGAAACCGTTTATATGAAGCAACCACCAGGATATGAGGATCCTACACACCCAGGTCATGTTTGCTATCTTCAGCGGTCATTGTACGGGCTAAAGCAAGCGCCTCGTGCCTGGTTTAAACGGCTACAGGAGTTCTTATTATCAACCGGTTTTCAAGGATCAAAAACTGACGTCTCCCTTTTTCACTATACCACTGATGAGTCGAGAGTTTACTTATTGGTCTACGTAGATGATATCATCATGATGGGAAGCGACAAGGCCTTAATAGACTCTTTACTGCATCGTCTCGCGTCCACGTTCAAGATCAGGGACCTTGGTACTCCGGCCTTCTTTTTGGAAATTGAGACTTTGTTTGACACATGTGGGGTCATTTTATCACAACGTCGGTATATGAAGGACATTTTAACTCGAGCAGGCATGGCAGAATGTAAACCCCTGGCGACACCAGCAGCAGTTACACAGCCAGTCACACCGACACTAGATCCGTTTGAGAATCCGACGCAGTACCGCCGCATAGTTGGGGCTCTACAGTATTTGACTATCACTAGGCCAGATCTTTCCTTCTCTGTCAACAGGTTATGTCAGTTCATGCACTCGCCTACTGAGGATAATTGGGCCGCATTGAAACGGGTTCCCCGATATGTCAAAGGGACTCAGGACTATGGCCTTCGCGTCACACCGTCATCATCGACCGATATACATGCCTTTTCCGATTCAGACTGGGCCGGCTGCCCGATTGATAGGAAATCTACCAGCGGGTATGCAGTCTTTTTAGGGAGCAACTTGATTTCGTGGGTGTCTCGCAAGCAACGCACTGTAGCAAGGTCCTCCACAGAGGCTGAGTATAAAGGCCTAGCTGATGTTTCTGCAGAGGTCACGTGGATTGTTTCGTTACTTCGAGAGTTAGGGTTATCCACCGGCAAACCAGCTACACTCTGGTGTGATAATCTTGGAGCCACATACCTTGCAGCGAATCCGGTTTTTTCATGCCCGCACGAAACACGTGGAAATCGACTATCATTTCGTACGGGATAAAGTTGCATCTGGAGATTTCGTTGTTAGTTTTATTTCCACCAAGGAGCAGCTGGCAGACATCTTCACCAAGCCACTTCCTGCTGCGCGTTTTCAGACTCTACGGAGCAAGCTCAATATTGTTCCTATCCCTCCTTGAGCTTGAGGGGGAGTGTTAGACATTATATTATTGTTATTAGTTTTATAATGTATAGTTTATATTCCTGTTGCTTTAGTCTTAGTTTGTTATTTCTAGTCTAGAGTTTAGGAGACTTATGAGGATGTTTTCATATAGGTCTCTATCATGTAATTGATCGATTGAATTTGAAATTCTAAAACTCATCCCTAAGAGCAACTCCAACCTGGCGCTATATCTGCAAATTTCGACGGCGAAGCGGCAAAGCAGCATATTTTCTCACTCGGATGTGAGTCGCCATTCCGCTATAACTCCAATTGTTTTGGCGTTAATGAACATCGCGCCACTGTTCATCCGCGGCAATTGTAAATTAGGGAGGAAAGTTACCATTTTGCCCTTTGCTTCTTTCTATAATTTCAAATGTATCCTTTATTTGTTTTATATGTAATTTTTTATTTTGTTAAATACTTATATTTATAGTTTGTATTATTAAATATAAATTATACCATTTTAAAGATCTCATTGAAACGATCGAAACAAGACTAATATTGAATATATATTAATTAAAATTTCAAATACATCAAATCTAGAACATAATAAAAATTAAAATACATACGACATAATTGATATTAGAAAATGCAACACAATTTTGAAAAATAAAATAAAATTAATAATTTCCTAGTCCACTCCAACTTCCTTCCAAATTATCAAAATATTTATCAAATTCACGATTTGATTGAACTCCTCCTCAATGCACTTGATTTCTCTCCGCAACGATTTGTAGTTGTTGGCGTCTAATCGACTCACGCACAGCTGGATCTTCTATCAAATTTAAATTCATTCTTAAGATTTTGTTATCTTCTTTTTGTTTTGCCAATGCCATTTTTTCTTTTCCCAATGCTATTTTGTTCGCTACATTTTAAGCTTTAACAAATCAAGCTCATATTATTTTTGGAGTAGCTCATGATTGTGTTCGAACATTCCTTTAAATTGTGCAGTTTGTTCTTCCATTGCGGCAATAAATTGATTGCGCTCATGCAAAGGTTTTTGCTTAATTCTTTCCTTCTTCCTTCCCGTAGGGCGTTCACCTACATTGTTTATTTCATTATAATGATCATCAGTTTCAAAATCATCATTCAAATCAACAGCAAATGAGGAAGAGCATATTGTCTTCTCGGTCCCCAAAGAGTGTGACTGTGATCCTTCGGAAGTTCTTTTCCAACCTCCAACATTTAGCAAGCTCCCAGTTCTATAATATTTTTGCATGTCTTTCACAATAGGCCATACATGATCAAATTTAAATCCATTTTTCCATTTGGGATTTTGCTTTACTAACTCCTTTGCTCTATCAAGCTGTTATAAACAAAATATAATTCAAATTAAACAACGCAATTAAGACAAAAAAAAAAGATGAGACAACTAAATAAGACAAATTTACAAGATACTCACAATATCTTGTTCAGATGCACCACTTGGGTTCATGTTCTCTATCTGTTGAATGCATCCTCTTAGTTTGCAAACCGCTGTTGATATAGTTGCCCAAAGAGTTTGCAGCGATCTCGAAGTTCGATCAGTTCAAATGTGTGCTGGTAGTATTCACTTATATTCTTGTGCAATGTGTTCCCATAAATCTTGTGCAAAGTAATCTTTGCCCTTTTTAGGATCTTGGGCAATATCCATAAATATAGTACAAAGGATTTTATCTTCCTCATTTTAGTATGAGGCAGTTCGGACCGAATGCGAGGGTTTTGACATATTTCAATGATTGTTAAACTAGAAAGAAATGTAAAGATATTTTGATATTCAAAAGATAGGTGGTATTACTTCTAAAATCGAATTGTAGTATTTATAGAAATACAAGGATACCAATGAACGGATGAGATCTTCGTGATCTAATCTAACGGTTCTAAACAATTCAGATAAAAGCTGATTCAAAGATGTGATATCTTTTATTGGAATATGTGTGGAAAAGGACAAGCACATCAATGAACGGATATGATCTTCGTGATCTAATCTAATGGTTCTAAACAATTCAGATAAAAGCTTATTCAAAGATGTGATATCTTTTATTAGAATATGTGTGGAAAAGTACAAGGATACCAATGAACGGATGAGATCTTCGTGATCTAATCTAACGGTTCCAAACAACTCAGATAAAAGCTTATTCAAAGATGTTATATCTTTTATTGGAATATGTGTGGAAAAGGACAAGCATACCAATGAACGGATGTGATCTTCACGATCTAATCTAACAATTCTAAACAATTCAGATAAAAGCTAATTCAAAGATGTGATAACTTTTATTAGAACATGTGTGGAAAAGGACAAGGATACCAATGAACGGATGAGATCTTCGTGATCTAATCTAACGGTTATAAACAATTCAGATAAAAGCTTATTCAAAGATGTGATATCTTTTATTGGAATACGTGTGGAAAAGGACAAGCATACCAATGAACGGATGTGATCTTCGCGATCTAATCTAACGGTTCTAAACAATTCAGATAAAAGTTGATTCAAAGATGTGATATCTTTATTATTGAAATATGTGTAGAAAAGGACAAGCATACCAATGAATGGATGTGATCTTCGCGATCTAATCTAACGGTTCTAAACAATTCAGATAAAAGTTGATTCAAAGATGTGATATCTTTTATTGGAATATGTGTGGAAAAGGACAAGCATACCAATGAATGGATGTGATATTCGCGATCTAATCTAACGGTTTTAAACAATTCAGATAAAAACTGATTCAAAGATGTGATATCTTTTATTGGAATATGTGTGGGAAAGGACAAGCATACTAATGAACGGATGTGATCTTCACGATGTAATCTAACGGTTCTAAACAATTCAGATAAAAGTTGATTAGATGTGATATCCTTTATTGGAATATGTGTGGAAAAAGACAAGCATACCAATGAACGGATGTGTTCTTCGCGATCTAATCTCATGGTTCTAAACAATTCAGATCATCCATATAAAAACATTCTGCATTACCATCAAATTAAGCATGCATCCCCTTATCATCTATCTCTAAACATACGAATTCAAATATGAATTCCAATACTGGAAAACGTCCTATGTCATTTTCTTCATCATCATCCTCATCTTCCTAATCCTCACCATCATCATCACCGGATTCTGAGCACAATCTCGCGAGTGCAATACGAGCACAAACACAGTTATTAATAGGTGCATGTACTAGCCACAACCTTGCCATAGCTTCCTATATGGAAAATATGGATAATCAACCCCCAAGGCATGGAGATTCGACTTTTGGTAATAGAGTGATTCATCGTGATCGTGAAGAAGCAGATCGAAGATTATGGAATGATTATTTTTTCAGAGTATCCAAAATATTCTAAAGCAATGTTTCGTAGACGATTTCGAATGAGTCAAAATTTGTTCCAGCGAATTCCCAATGTTGTTAAAGGCCATGAAAACTATTTTGTGCAACAGAAGCATAGAACCGGTAGACTGGCTTATCTACTTTACAAGATGTTAAAGCGGCGTTTCGAATTTTGGCGTACGGAATATCAGCAGATGCAACAAAGGAATATATACAGATTGGAGAATCAACTACAATTGAAAGTTTGAAGAGATTCTGTTGAGAAATTGTAGAGATATTTGGGGAGCGATATCTAAGAGCACCTGATGCTAATGATGTTGCATGGTTGCTTCAAATTAGCGAAAAACGTTGTTTTCCAGGGATGCTTGGGAGTTTAGATTGCATGCACTGGACTTGGAAAAATTGTCTAACTGCCTAGGTTGGACAATATGCTAGGCGAAGTAGAGAACCAACTATTATTCTTGAAGTTGTAGCCGATTATGATTTGTGGATTTGTCATGCACATTTTGGTATGCCGGGGTCGAATAATGACATTAATGTGTTGGAGGCATCTTATTTGTTTTCAAATCTTGCAAACGGTATAGAACCTCCTTGTCATTATGTTATTCAAGGACAAGAGTACAACACTGGATATTATTTAGCCGATGGTATATATCCAAAATGGTCCACATTGGTACAAACAATTCAAGAACCTTGAGGGCCAAAAAAGAAGTTATTTGCGATGATGCAGGAATCGTGTAGAAAAGACGTAGAACGTGCATTTGGAGTTCTCTGATCACGATTTGCAATAGGCAAGGGACTGACACGTTTTTGGGATAAATGTGTATTGCATGATATAATGTCATCTTGCATTGTAATGCACAATATGATCATTGAGGATGAACATGATGAGCAAGCAGATATACAAGGTTGGAAGGAAGCACCGGCTCCTGAAGTTGATATAGCTAGATATGAGAATATTAGATTTCAAGAATTTCTTGCTCGGCATAGACAAATCTATATTGTATATAAAAACAAAATCTTGAACTTTAACTTCACGCCCAATTCCTAAAAAATCTCAATTTCTGTTAGAAATATATTGTTTTCTACTTTTCTATTCGTACTATAATTCTAGGTTAACATTCCTATTCTAATATTATAAAATAGTGAATACAATCCCTATTCTAATCTATACTATATGTAAAAACAAAATCCTGAACTTTAACATCACGCCCAATTCCTAAAAAATCTCTATTTCTAAAAAAATATATTGTTTTCTACTTTCATATTTGTACTATAATTCTAGGTTAAAATTCCTATTCTAATATTATAAAATAGTGTAATACAATTCCAATTCTAATCTATATCTATACTATATATAAAAACAAAATCCTGAACTTTAACTTCCCGCCCAATTCTAAAAAATCTTTCTTTCTAATAAAATATATTGTTTTCTACTTTCATATTCATACTATAATTCTATGTTAAAATTCTTATTCTAATATTATAAAATAGTGTAATACAATTTCTATTCTAATCTATATCTATACTTCTATACTATACATAAAAACAAAATCATAAACTTTAAATTCCCGCCCAATTCCTAGAAAATCTCTCTTACTAATAAAAATACATTGTTTTCTATTTTCCTATTAGTACTATAATTCAAGGTTAAAATTTCTATTCTAATATTATAAAATAGTGTAATACAATTCCTATTCTAATCTATTCTATATGTAAAAACAAAATCCTGAACTTTAACTTCCCGCCCAATTCCTAACAAATATCTCTTTCTAATAAAAATATATTGTTTTCTATTTTCCTATTAGTACTATAATTCTAGGTTAAAATTTCTATTCTATCTAATATTATAAAATAGTGTAATACAATTCCGACCGAGACTATGTGGTCTAATGGTACCCGGGTTGGACTTTCATTTGGAAGGTTGTGAGTTCGAGCCACAATGGAGGCATTATTGGTTCTTTGGGTTTCAGTAGGGTTCTATGAACAATATACTACAATGTAATAGAGTCAAAAAGTATATGTAAAAACAAAATCCTGAACTTTAACTTCCTGCCCAATTCCTAAAAAATCTCTTATTCTAATAAAAATATTTTTTTTTTCTATTTTTCCTATTAGTACTATAATTCTAGGTTAAAATTTCTATTCTAATATTATAAAATAGTGTAATACAATTCCTATTCTAATCTATACTATATATAATAAAAAAAATTAAAAAAAAAAAACAAAATTCTGAACTTTAACTTCCCGCCTAATTCCTAAAAAATCTCTCTTTCTAATAAAATATATCGTTTTCTACTTTTCATATTTGTACTATAATTCTAGGTTAAAATTCTGAATTCTATTATTATAAAATAGTGTAATACAATTCCAATTCTAATCTATACTATATATAAAAACAAAATCCTGAACTTTAACTTCCTGCCCAATTCCTAAAAACTCTCTCTTTCTAATAAAATATATTGTTTTCTACTTTCATATTCATATTATAATTCTAGGTTAAAATTCCTATTCTAATATTATAAAATAGTGTAATACAATTCCTATTATAATCTATCTACTATACTAATAAGAGCCCAAGAGAGTTAGGCCTATAATGGGTAGAAAAAATGGCGGTCAAATTTTTTATTCAAATGAATGGCTCAGATTGATTAGATTTTAATTGTTCCTTTAAGATTTCCTAATTTATCCTTAATGAATATGATTATCCGTTAACTTTTCCGTTAAATATTATCTTTTCCGTTAATTTCTGTTAGTTCACCGTTAACTTACTCATTGATTTCAATAAGAAAGATCTTAAGTTCGAACCTCATCCCAGTCAAAGTTGGCATAATTAGTACTCTATTTTACTCTTATTAAATTAAATAATAATTTAGTAGCTATAACAAAAAAAAATACATATGCATTTCTTTAATTAAGAATGATGTGTCTACAATGTCTTTATTCAAAAAAAAATTATTCATTAACCCAACAGGGTAGCTCAAGTGGCAAATGAGCTCTCTTTGTGGGGGAGAATTCCGGGATAACTCGGGTTTGATTCCTACAAGTGACGATTCCCTTTGGGCCAACTTCTGTGCCTCTCTGGAGCGAACTGGGTGGACTTGGACCGTTAAACGGACAGAGAAAGACCCGGACTACAATGTGTGGTTTCCACCAAAA